GCAGTTGTGATTGTTAAGTGCTGTCGAGTCGATTCAGACCCATAGTGACCCTGTATAGTTTCTGAGGAGCAGCTGATGAGCTTGAACCGCTGACCTTGCAGTTCAAATGGCTTTGCAGTCTGGTGCATTAACCCACAGTGCCACACCAGGACTAGTTGTTGTTGTCAGGTGCCATCGAGTCGGAACCGACTCATAGCGACCCCATGCACAGCAGAATGAAACAATGTCCGATCCTGGGCCAACCTCACTACCGCCGCCACACTTGATGCCATCAATGATGCCACCTGACTGATCCATCTCGTTGGGGATCTTCCTCTTTTTCTCTGACCCTCCACCTTACCCAGCATGACATCCTTCTCCAGCGATTGTTTTCTCCGGACAATGTGTCCAAAGTATGAGAGACGAAGCTTAGCCATCTTGGCCTCCAAGGAGCACTCTGGTTGCACTTCTTCCAAAACAGATCTATTGGTTCTTTTGGCAGTCCATGGCACTTTCAGTATTCTCCTCCAACACCACAACTCAAAGGCATCATTTCTTCTACAATCTTCCTTATTCACTGTCCAGTGGTTACGAACTGGGCTGCGAACCTTAAGGTCAGTGGTTCGAACTACCAGCCACTCTTTGGGAGAAAGATGAGGCTTTCTACTCCCGTAAAGATTTATATCCTTGGAAACCCTGTACAGGGTTGCTATGGGTCGGAACTGACTCGACGACACTTAACAACAGCAACAAGATGGCTACTAATTAAACCAGGACTAGTACATGGTACTTATTCTCCAACAACAATATTCATTTCCAACAACACCATATTCTTATACTTCTCCAACAGCAGTGTTCTTCTCCAACAACACCATAACTCAAATGCATTAATTCCTTACTCATTGTCCATCAAAGTTTCAGTGGCTAAACATTCAGAAGTAGTCTCTCTTTCTCAGTTTGGAAGCTCATCTGAAACCTGTCCACCATGGGTGACCCTGTTGGTATTTAAAATACTGGTGGCATACACAGCACAACATGTTAGCCACCACAGTACAACAAACTGAAAGACAGATGGTGGACAGACAGGCCTTAGTGATGTAAGACAATATCCATTTTATTTGCTTACAATTCTGTGAGTCAACAATTTGGGCCAGGCTTTGCTGGATGGTTTTTCAGCTGGTCTCATATGCAGTCACTCATTTAGCTTCAGTTAGCTGGCAGGTCATCTGGGGCTGGATGGTCTAGGGACTTTCAGCTGGGATAGCTTGTCTCTGCTCTACAGATTCTCATCCTTCAGTTGGTTAGCCTGGAAGTGTCAGGGCAGCAAGAGGTAAGAGTGAAAGCTGTATGATGTCTTAGTTGCAGTGTAGCTTTGTAACTCCCACAACATTTTGTCCATTGTATTCTATTGATCAAATCAAGTCATAAACCAGCTCAGATTCCAGTGGGTGGAAAGTATGCAAAGGGGTGTACAAAAGAGGATAGAATAAATTGTAGTCATCTGTAGCCTACTACAATCAGCCAGAATGTGTTTTTGTAAAGTAGGAATCAGAGCATGTCTCTCCCCTGTATTAAATCCTCTGATAACTTCTACAGTTAAAAATAAAACCTCTTGGTCTTATAGGTTCACTTTGATCTTCCTTTCTAATTTTATCTCATCACCTCTAGTTCACTGTGCTCTCATCACACTGGCTTTGTCTTTATTTATAGTATGTTGTTATTAGCTGCAAAGGAGTGAAATACTGCTCTATCCTGCACCATCCTCATGATCAGTTTGGGATCAGATCTTTGTGATCCTTAGGGTTTCCATTGATTATTCTTTGGAAGTAGAAGACCAGATCTTTCTTCCTAGTCCAGCTCAGTTTGTAGGTTCTTCTGAAGCCTGTTTATAGCAACTAGAATCATAGCATCATGCACTCCTCCACTGATAGATGGGTAGTAGCTGCATACGAGATGCATTGGCCAGACTCTAATGGACGGTGACAATGCTACCGTGGAACCACCACAGTCCTCATAGTTCTAGGAAACTTGTATATAATTTTAGCCTCAGAACCTTTCTTTCTGGAGCACTCTTCATTAGAAGTTGGCATGCTCAGTTCCTTCATCTATCTTTTAGGTCTCAGTACCAAAGACATCTCCCCAGAAAACTTCTCCCCAACCATGGTTACCAAGGTAATTCTCCCTAACCCTACCACCAAAGTTCTTCTTTAACTCCTTTTCTTGTGTTGTTTTTCTTAATTATAGTAGCTGACACTTAGATGAGTCTTTCTGCTCTTGCAATATTGACAGCTCAGAAACCCTAAACTGAGCCAGAACCAACTCTACGGCACTTAATATAACAACAACAATACTTACATATATTTACTGTGGACCAGGCATAGTTCTAAGCACTTTACATATATATTCATTCTTGTAATCTTTACAACCACACTATGAAGCCAGTACTAGTATTGCCCTTAGTTTTCAGATGAGAAAACCAAAGTACAAAATAATGAAGTGTCTTTCTGATGCTCTTATAGCTCTATCGTGTTTATTATTGTTTGTTTTCCCCTCCCCCAATTCCCATAATATAAGCTCCTTAGGAGTAAAGATCTTAGCTCTTATTTAAGGTCTATTCCCTAGCATTTAGAATAGTGCCTAATACACAGATGCTCCATAATTATTTACTAGTAAATTCAAATATTTTTAAAATGCTTTACTGTGAAGCAAATGAAGGTTTACAGAGCAGATAATAAGCTTTGCACTCAATAAATCATACACTTCACTTCATTGCAATGACTGAAATCCCTCTGTGTACCAACAGTCAACAGTATTTACCTCCATTCACCTCAACTATTGCATTTCCCCCTGTGACTCCAACTATCTTCATCTTTCCTCTGTATACCTCCCTCTTGTTGCATACTACACATGTCAACATGTGTCCACCCTCTAGCTCATGAACATTTTCCTTCCCCAATCTCCATGAAACTATCATAGATTGTTTCTTCTATGAAGAAAACCTTCACTTAACTTTTTACAACACTGGTAGATTGTTTCTTCTATCAAGAAAACCTTCACTTAACTTTTTACAACATTGGTCTCATACAATATTTGTCTTTTGGTGATTGACCAATTTCACTCAGCATAATGTCCTCCAGGTTCATTCATGTTGTGAAGTGTTTTGCAGATTCATTGTTATTCTTCAGTGTTGCATAGTAGTCCATTGAGTGTACGTACCAAAGTTTGTTTAACCATTTTCTTTTGGGCATTTAGGTTGTTTTCATCCTTTTGATGTGCCAGCTTCTTCTCCCAGGAAGCACTCAATCCACTTCTCTAACTTTTCCTCTGAAGTTCAGGGTTCCAGAATTTTCATGTGTCTGTTTTATTTTATCTTTCATATGCTTATTGTAGAGGGTCTGTGCAGTACATTTGCCTAGTCCACCATCTAGCTGGAAGTCAGTGAATAAAACCTTCAATCCAGTTAGTTGATGTATCTTGTTTACTATGTTTTCTAAATATTTCTTGATTTCAAGTGCCTTTCTCTATCCATATTTTACCACATGAGTAAAGATAATCTCTTACCAGATCCTTTGTAGACTTGTTTTCATTTTCTTCAACTCTACAAAGGATCTGCCTTTGAGTTGTGGTGTTGGAGGAGAATACTGAAAGTGCCGTGGACTGCCAAAAAAACCAATAGAGCTGTTTTGTAAGAAGTGCAACCAGGTTGCTCCTTGGAGGCCAAGATGGCTAGGCTTCGTCTCTCATACTTTGGACACATTGTCCGGAGAGAAGAGTCGCTGGAGAAGGATGTCATGCTGGGTAAGGTGGAGGGTCAGAGAAAAAGAGGAAGACCCCTAATGAGATGGATCAGCCAGGGACATCATTGATGGCGTCAAGTGTGGCGGCTGTAGTGAGGTTGGCCCAGGATCGGACATTGTTTTGTTCTGCTGTGCATGGGGTCGCTATGAGTCGGTTCCGACTCAATGGCACCTGACAACAACAACAACAAGATCCTTTGGAACATTTTCTGTAGACTAAATCTTTCTTTGTCCAACCAAGGGCAGAGAAGGGAGCAAGAAAACAAATAGAGACGGGAGGGAGGGAGCAAGGAAGAGGGGAAAGAAGATAAATAGATAGCTGTCTTGAGTTTATTCCAGTTCACGGTGACCTGATGTATAATAGAATGAAATGCTAGTATCATCCTCACTGTCCATCATTGTAGCCATTGTGAATAGCAAGTTAAAATGAGAAATTTGGCCACAACATTCTTCTGCTTACAAACCTGTTAGAGCTTCCAACTATCTTCATAGCAAACTGCAAACTCCTGAGACTAGTTCACATGGTCCTTCCTGATCAAGTTCTCTTCTGCTTTTCTACAAGCAACCCAGCACCAGACCTCCACTGCTCCCAGATTTTCAAGCTTCTTCTCACCTGTTCCCTCATCTGGAGCACCTGTCTTCTCCATGCAGACTTCTTTTTAGCTTTTGAAACCCAATTTGAATAACTCCTGTTTATGTTCATGGGCACTTAGTTTATAACTTACTCCTTTATATCACAGATATCCATTTACTGTATTCATATATCCATGCATGCATTCATTCAGCAAACATTTGCTGAGTACAACTTTCAGAAGTCCAGTTTATGGGAAACAATGCCTTTTAAATTGTTTCGTACATCTTCATTTGCATGTTTGTTTTCTTCCTCTACACTGAGAGCCTCTCCAAGGTAGGCTTCAGTTCTCACTTACTTTTTTTTGTTTGTTTGTTTCACATCTCCAACAGATTTATTTGTTTTGAAAGGAATGAATTGTAAGGAAAGAAAAAATGAGGCAGGGAAAAAGTATGGAATAGAAAAAAATACAAATGTAAGCCGTTTTGCTAATTGTTTTATAACCACAACTAACTAGTACCGAGAAGACCCTGTACAAACCAACACAATGAAGGGTCAAAGATGGAGGTGGTTCCCTTAGCAAGGTATTTGGAATTGACGCTGTAGTCCTTGGTTTTGGATGGATCACTGGGTGTCTGGGCCCAGTCCATGCCTTAACCAGATTTGAACAGAAAAATGGCCACTTGGCCCAGGTAGAAGTAGATGAAGTGCTTAGTTTCATGTGTCACATAACTACTGAAGTTTCTCCCCACGATGCAGTGCCAGGTGGGGTTGTACTTCTTGTCAAACTCCTCCTTGATGTGGGCCTCGATGTCCTTCTCGATGTTGTATTTCTCCAGTGCCTGCGTAGCGCACTCCACCGAGTCCTGTTGCATCTCCTCAGACATGTCAGCATTTTTTATCATGGCCTTTCGGTCACACATGGTTCCTGGGGAGCACACACGGGCTGACTGTGGCGGTCTCCTGGGAGAGGGGTTGGAGCGTCTCAAGCCTGGTTAGTAGTGCCATAGCTAGCGAAGCCGTGGCACATCTAATCATTTGCTTTTATAACCTTAGTGCCTAGCTTAATAAAAGTTTTCTAAATACACAGATAATTATGAAACAAGTAAACATAGGTTACGGAAGGAGAACCTGAACCTTCGAGGATCAGGAAAGCTTCCTGGAAGAGGGGATGTCTGAGCTGAGATTCAGTTATTTCTTGTCGACTGCCCTAGCCTCCCCTCAGACTATGAGTTTTTCAAGGGCAGAGATTCTAGTTTATTCATGGTTTTATCTAAGCTAGTTTATAACGTAGTACATCACACATACTAGTTAACTCAAGGATTCCATTTGAGTGAAAGAATGAATGAAAATCCTTTCCCTTGCTCCTAATTCCTGCATGCCTGTCTCATACACAGTTTCTAAGGCAGCTGAATAATTTAGGCCACAGCATCTCTTGTCTAGATTGAGGCCTAGCCACACTCTATAAAATCAGGTAATACAAGTCAGAAAACTAAGGACGATCTGGTTCCAACTAGAACCACATGGTACTTTGTCTTTGAGCTCTTCATACATTAAGTGGTGGTGGTGGTGGTTGGTGGTTATGTGCCATGGAGTCGGTTCTGACTCATAGCGACCCTGTACAGGGTTTCTGAGGCTGTAAATCTTTAGGGAGCAGATGCTCCCCTAATCCCAGACCTGGGAGGTTTTATCTTATCAACTCTGCCACTGAGTTGGAATTCTAAATGGGTACCTGGCACCTGAGCCTGCGGGCTCTAATTGGAATTGGAAGGCTGATTAGTTACAAACGTGCCCCTTTCCCCTACCTCCTTCCCTCCCTTGTGTTAACTGTTTAGGCATCTGTCTCCCCTGCTGGATTATAAACTCATTTGAGGCCAGAGACAGTACCTTAGGCGTGTTTGTATTCCCCACAGTGCCTGCCACTTCACAGGCAGGCATCAATAAAAGGTTGTTAAATAAATAAATAAATAACCCATACTGAAGGATTTATCCTAATTAAGTCCTCTCAAGTAGTTCCCTCAGGATGCATTCAATATGTGGTTTCTCCCATCTTCTAAAAGGCTTACGCTTTTTCTATGCCAAATTATGGTAGTTCCAGTTTCAGTACCATTGATCTTCTCCATAAACTAACTGTTTAGTCAGGTCTCTCCATTAAACACTCTAGTGACCTGCCTGGCTTTACACTCAAGAACCCTCCTGGACTACCAGCACACAAGTTTGGCCTCCTTGACCCTGGTGTGTAATTGAGTTATAATTGTGTGGTGATCTTAGGCTAAAAACTGGGACAACCTGAGAGACTTCTATGCGCAGAACACTATCACTGGGCGATTTGGCTCCAAACCAATATGGGGCACAATCAACTAGCCTTGGCCATGAAGAGATCATTTTTGCCTTAGCTATGTTGGCATTCAACCACTCATATGTCAGTTTAACATACTGTGGTGGCTCACATGTTAATTCGATGCTGGAAGCTATGCCACCAGTATTTTAAATATCAGCAAGGTCACTCATGGTGAACAGGATTCAACGGAGCTTGCAGACTAAGGTAGACTAAGAAGAAGGAGAGGCAGCCTACTTTTCGGTGTTTAGCCACTGAAACCTATGAATAGCAGTGGAACATTGTCAGATGAAAACTTTATGAATAGGAGCAGAATATTCTCAGATATAGGGCCAGATGATACGTCTCTCAGGTTAGAAGGCACTCAGAATGCAAATGGGAAGAGCTGCCTCCTCAAAGTGGAGTTGACCGTGATGACACAAATGGAGTAAAGCTTTCAGGACCTTCATTTGTTGATAGAGCCAAACTCAAATTGAGAAGAAACAGCTGAATGCATCCATTAATAATCAGAACTTGACATATACAAAGTATGACTCCTGGAAAATTGGAAGTGGTCAAAAATGAAATGGAACATATAAAGATCAATATGCTAGGCATTAGTGAATTGAAATGGACTGGTATTGGTCATTTTGAATCTAACAATAATATAGTTTACTATGTCAGGAATGACAAGTTGAAGAGGAATGGTGTTGCATTCATCATTAAAAAGAATACTTCAGGATCTATCATGAAGTACAATGCTGTCTGTGATATTGATATGCCCACAAGGAAGACCTGCTAATACCACTATTGCTCAAATTTATGCATTAAGCACTAAATACAATGATGATGATAATGAAGAATTCTACCAACTTCTTCAGTCTGAAATTGGAAAATATGGCCTTAGTGATAGAAATGATGGAGATCACATGGTAGAGTTTTGCACTTTGTTCATTGCAAATACCTTTTTAAAGTAGCATTAAATACTACTACACACATGGACCTCATGAGATGGAAATCAAACTGACTACATCTGTGGAAAGAGACAGTGGAAAAGTAGTTCCATACCATCAGCCAAAACAAGGCCGGGGCGGACTGTGGAACAGATCACCAACTGCTCCTAAGCAAGTTTAGGCTGAAGTTGAAAAATTAAAACAAGTCTATAAAAGTCAAAATAGAACTTTGAACATATCCTAACTGAATTTAGAGATCATCTCAAGAATAGATTTGATGCATTAGACACTAATGACTGTGGACCAGAAGAATTGTGGGATGACAACAAGAACATCATACTTGAAGAAAGCAAAAAGGTCATGAAAAAGACAAGAAAGAAGGAAAAGACCAAAATGAATGTCAGAAAAGACTCTGAAACTTGCTTTCCAGTGTAAAGATGTTAAGCAAATGGAAGAAATGAGAGGTAAAAGAGATGAGCAGAACATTTCAAACGTCAGCTTGAGAAGACAAAGTCAAGTGTTATAAAGAAATGTGCAAAGACCTGGAGTTAAAAAATCAAAAAGGAAGAACATGCTCAGCATTTATCAAGCTGAAAGAACTGTAAAAAATTCAAGCCTCGACTTGAAATAATGACAGAGTCTATGAACAAAATATTGAATGATATTGAAAGCATTAAAAGAAGATGGAAGAAATACACAGTCACTGTACCAAAAAGAAATGGTCAATATTCAACTATTTCAAGAGTTAGCATTTGATCAAGAGGCAATGGTACCGAAGGAAGAAGTTCAAGATTCACTGAAGGCATTGATAACAAACAAACTTCTGGGAATTGATGGAATATAAATAGAAATCTTTCAATAAACTGATACATCACTGTGCCAAGGAATTGGGATGACAACTATCTGGCCAACTGATTATAAGAGATCCATATTTGTGCCCATTCCAAACAGAGGTGTCCCAACAGAATGCGGAAATCATCAGAAAATATCAGTAAAATATAACATACAAGTAACATTTTGCTAAAGATAATTTAAAAATAGCTGCAACAGTACATCTACAGGGGACTGTCAGAGGTTCAAGTCAGATTTATATGAAGATGTAGAATAACATTGCTGATGTTAGATGGATCTTGGCTGAAAACAGAGAATACCAGAAAGATGTTTGTCTATGCTTTATTGACTATGCAAAGCTTTTTCGATTGTGTGGATCATGACAAACTATCGATAACATTGGAAAGAATGGGTATTCCAATACATTTAATTGTGGTCATAAGGAAGCTGTTCACAGACCAAGAGGCAAAACTAGGGAACACTAAATGGTTGTAAATCAAGAAAGTTGTGTTCCAGGGTTGTATTCTTTCACCATACTTATTCAATCTGCATGTTGTTGTTGTTGTTGTTAAGTGTCATTGAGTTGGTTCCAATTTAAATCCACCCTGTATAGGGTTTCCAAGGAGTGGCTGGTGAGTTTGAACCATCGACCTTGTGGTTCAAACTGCCCTTGCAGTCCAGTGCTTATCCTACAGCACAACACCAGGACTCTCTCAATATGCTGAGCAAATAATCCGATAAACTGGATTATATGAAGAGCATTGTATCAGGATTGGAGGAAGATTCTAACAACTTGTGATATGCAAATGATTCAACCTGGCTTCCTGAAAGCGAATAAGACTGGACTGATAAATAATATCATGATAAATGGAGAAAAGATTGAACTACCAATCTTGCATTTAGCAGTCCAGTGCTTATCCTGCAGCACTACATCAGTCTTTGAGGTACTGAATCTTAAATGGGATCCTTACCCAGAACTGACTTGGGTCTAGAACATGGAAATGTTGAGAAGGGGGATGCAAAGTTCTAGGGAAAAACCAAAGAGAGTGTACTTTCCCATCCCTCTTTATTCTCTTGTCCTGTAGGAAGAATATGCTCTGCAGTGCTCAACCTGGTGTCCAGTACACTGGACCACAGTCCCACTGATGGTGCTTCAAAGGGTCCAAACAAATATGAGAGTGATCATTTTTATGGCTATCCTCTCTTTGTCCGTTTGATTAGATAAATGAAACTGCAAGGAAACTTTGAGGACAGAGGACAAAAGGAAGAACTTTGGTGGCCAATCTATGCCAGCTCAGCCATAAGCATCAAGGTAAATCATCCTAGATCCTTCTTTTGACTCCACTTACAGACATAAAAACTATGGACTCATCTTTCTTTCCACAGAAATGGTCAAAAACCCTATAGAGAGTTGCTCTGTGTTGAAACTGACTCTATGGCATTGAACAACAACAGTCTCAAAGAGTAGGTCCAATCTTGAACAGAAAACTTGTGCTCGGCTTAATTCTGAAATCAAGCCTTTGTACTCTTTGTATCTCGGGCTTATTTTGACTGTCCCTCCCTCCCCATCTCATACTAGTACTGTTTGTTGTTATTGTTAGCTTCAGTTGAATTAGTCACCAACTCATGAGGATCCCATGTATGACAAATCAGACCATTGTTATTACATACAATTTTTATTGGTTGATTGTCAGAAATAAACCATGGATGGTTAAGGTGTGTCAACTTGAGTGGGCCGTGATTCTCAAATGGTTTCATAGTAATGTTGTAACCATCTCCTATGATTGTTGTTGTTGTTAGGTGCCATCGAGTCAGTACCAAC